GCTGAATTCCCGGTACTGCTTTTCCCTTCCCTTTCAGACACCAGTGCTTCAAGAGGACGTCTCTGTGGTCTGTGAGCTCCTAGAGGTGCGGATCACTGCTGGCTTCTCCTGGAGCTGCCACAGGTCCCCAGGCAGAAGCAGTCTCCCCAAGCCCCTGCTCCATCGCTTGCATGAGCTGGTTTCTCTCCGGGATGTCTGGTGGCACTGCTGAGCTGTCCAAAATCAGCTGGGGCACTGCAGGTACAGCCTTGTCTGTGGCTTCCTTCTGGGGACGGGAGCTCGCTTTTGGCTTAGAGCATCTGATGAGAAACAAGCCAGATACCAACGCCTGCGACTGCTGCCTTGGCTCTTGCTGAAAGAAACAGTCGGAGAAAGGTCCCCGTTGTCCCCACCTCCAGGCAGAGGGGGCTGGCGGAGCCTGGCGGGGCAGAGGAGCCCTCTGGGGAGCAGGGGGGTCCCCGAGCTCCCGGCTCTGGGGTCTGCTGCCGCCCTGGGCGCAGCCACGGGCAGACACAGAAAGGGGCCTAACGGCTCCCGTCTGAAGCCATGGGACTTTGGTAGAGAAAGTGACTTTTACAGAAATAAAGGAGACTCCCTTTTGGGTCAAGTGCTCTGGAAATGAATGATTTTGAGATGAAAGCCTTTTTACTCGGGTAACACAGCTTCACATTGCCTAAAGGGAAGCCTGCCTTGTGCTGGGCTGTTTTTCCCTCTGGGGGCATTGCGATTGTTTTTGAAGATGAATTTCCAACATACAAAGGAAAAGAAGAAACCGGAGCGAAAGAAAGGGCTTTAAAAGATATCAGGGTTTCTCGTGGTCTGTTTTAATTTGTCAGCCTGTCTCTCTTGCTTGCAACACCCCTGTCGGGTGCAGGGCTTGTTCCTCTTCTTCCCTTCGTGACTTTCTCCTTCCCTCTGGCATCTTCATCAATCCCAGTCTCTGGATTTTTTTTTCTCTCTCTCTCTTTTTTTTTTTTTTTTTTTCCCTCTTCTCTCCTTTCTAGGCTAACCTCTTTGCACTCAGGGCTGCTCAGCAGAGCGGTGGCTCCTGTGTGCTGTGCTGGGTGGGGATCCCCTTGTGAGATGGGCTGGGAGGGACCAGCCCTTGGCCTCCAGCAACGGCAGCAACATGTGTGCTGGGAATAAGCCTCCAAATCATAGAATCATAGAATGTTTTGGGTTGGAAGGGACCCCTAGAGGTCACCCAGCCCAACCCCCCTGCAGTGATCAGGGACACCGCTAACTAGATCAGGCTGCTCACAGCCCCGTCCAACCTGGTCTTGAATGCTTCCAGGGATGGGGCCTCCATCCCCTCTCTGGGCAACCCCTGCAAGTGTTTCACCACCCTCACTTTACAGTGAGTGAATTTCTTGCTTATATCCAGTCTAAACCTACCCTGGTTTAGTTTAAAACTATTAACCCTTGTCTTGTCACAGCTGGCCCTACTAAAAAGATTTTCCCTGTCTTTCCTATAGGCCCCCTTTAGGTACTGAAAGGCCACAATCAGGTCTCCCCGCAGCCTCCTCTTCTCCAGGCTGAACAACCCCAACTCTCTCAGCCGATGAAATGCGCGGCCCTGCTCTGTATCCGAGAGCCAGACGGTCACCGCTCCCAGTGCGACTGGTGGGGGGAGATGCGTGTCCCTGGTGGCCCCTTCAGACGCAGCGGGACGTGCCCGTCTATCGGGCTCCTTGACATGGTACCCCTTGGTGGTCCCCAGCCTGGACACAACCAGCCCAGAGGCCACTCGTGCCCAAGCTGTACCCAGGGCAGCGGCAGGAGAACAGTGAGGTGAAGCCCTCTGAAAGAGGTATGGAATGGACCCTTTCCCTGTCCATTTATCATCTGAGGGATCGTCTGTTGTGCCCCACGGACTCAAGGTCTCCATGGCCTGTTTTGGCTTTGGTAAGGCTATGGGAAGCCCCCAATTATCTCTCTCCTCTGCTTTTTGCTGTTTTTTCCTTCCCTGCCCTGCAGGGACGAGGCACACGCAGAGCTCTTCGCTGCTGCTGCTGCTTAGTGTGAAATGCTGTAAGACCCAAGCATTGATTTCTCAATCAAAGGTGTCTGTTTGCTCCTTGGTCTGGGGCTCTAGTGCCCGAAAAATCCATTTTTTCACTCCCCAACAGTTTGCTTTAAGATTTTAAAATCATCTGTTGTGCTTCAGAGCTTTGGGAAAAGAACAGATACTCAGTCAAGCCGATGTTGCTTGTGCTGGCTTGCTGGTGGGTTTTGTACAAGACAGAAACCAGATGGAGCCCGTGGGGGCTCTCGGGCGAGACCTTTGCCTGTGTCTGTGGTATGGGACAACATTGATCTACCAGGCTTTGGGAAGCTGTGGCTCTTCCTCCTGTCCC